GAGCCAGGACGAATTGACGTTGAAGTAAATTGGCTGGGGAATTACAAAGAGCGAAAATGACAATATCTACATACACCACAAACACACCCACACATACATACATTTACACACCTTTGAAAAATTTCTACAGAACTTTTAGCGTTATTAAGGTTTTTATTGTTACTTTTCACGATTCTAGATGAAAAAAAAATAATACTTGCAACTTGCAACCTAGGCACTTGCACCTACTCAGAAAGAGAAGTGCTTGTATATATTACAGTATATATCTCACAATCGCCACCCAAAATAACCAGAATATAATAGTAATATTATGCAACCTTGAAGAGACATTTTGTGCTTCAGCAAGCATTTTGTTTGTTTTTGAGAGATTCGAAGAAGCTGTGCTGTGTAGTAACTTGCACTCCTTCAATTCATTAATTTTCAATAAAATACATTCTGATTGCTGTCTTGAGCCTGTTAGAACAATTTTATCAATTTTTTTTACCAACACAGATCGTCACAGTGACACCAATTTGAATGACGTCGTCATGTAATTAGAAATATACCAAAACTTAAGGCTAATACTTCTAATTTCTAAATATTAATGTTCTAGCAAATGTTTATCAGCAACAATAAAAACAATGAAATAAAAATCTTACCTCCTGATGCAATACCAGCAGGATCGAAAGAGTCGCCAGCCAGTGTGACTGACCTCATCATGATATCTTCATCGAAGGTCACTCTTTTGGCTGACTCCATGTCGGTGCAGATAAAACTTGTTCCAAAAACATACGCCATAGCTGCTTCCAGTTCATTTTCATATTCCACCAGTGAAAGGGCAGTTCTTACATTCTCTTTTCCAACCTATGAAACAAATCAACAGTATGAATATCAACAATAAATAGTTCAGAACAGTTTATAAACCAAGCCAATCAATGTAATGACCTTAAATTTACTACTTCCCCAAAATGTGTTAGTTCCTTTTTTATACCACCTTTCTTAGCGTTCAAATTAAGCTTGTTTCTAATTTTTCTTATAATAGCCAGTATCAGACTGTAACTGGAATCTTACCTTAATACCTTAATGGCTCTCCACTATTTCCTTCTTTAAAGGTATGGAGCCTCTGTCTTCATGGCCTGTCAATTCAATGAGTTTCTAACGTAGCTGCTCAACCATTCCCCGACCCCATGCAACGCGACCACCAGATGGCAAAAAGTACCGACACCATGCACTACCTGACCCAACATCTTCCAGTTTTTTCAGTAGTTTGTTCATCAATTTTTGATAGGCTAACATTTATTTTACAAGATGCTTTGTGAGTTCATTTCTCAAACTTACTGCAAAGATGCGAGTTGCATAATGAATTCATCTCCTCGATACATTTGAACATGGTCATGTATTCATTTAAAACTTGGTTCGCCTACATATAATTTCTCACATCATACACATTTGTTCTCATTTGACTTTTGTTTCCTACCTACAGACTGTTCATCATGCTTCAACTAATAAATACTGACCTTGAATAAAGGAAAGAATTACAGTTCATAAAATGAAACATGTACCAGACATTCGGCCCTCCTAAGAACGTCAGCGGATATTTTAGAACCAGCAATTTTGTTAAGAGGAATGAAGGTGACTCTTCTTTTCAACTGTCCTTTGTCCAGTAACTTCTTGCTGGTCTGTTCTGTGTCAACAACTATATGATACAACTGTCGGGTATTGCAAAAAAATAACAACAACATTATTCATGGTATTATTAGATAATTAACTACATAGATATTTTCATCAATAACCTCAACAATTCTATACATTAATTTATGCTAAGCCAGCCAACAATAGTAATGGCATGCTTGGTAGAAGAAAGTGTCCAGAGCGATATAAACACAAAAAATATTCATCACGTGTTCGGATTTGAAATGCATTCAAATAAAACTAAACAGAATTAAATAAATCTTAGTTGACAATTTTTGCAACACCGATAGAAATAAAGGATAGAAATAAGAGATTGAGTATAACAACAAAACAACGACAGGAATATGAACGTTATAGTCCAGTAACAAAGGCAATAAAAAAATTTGGCAGTTACAAAATTTTAAATCATAAAAAGCTTTACAATGGACAAGTATCTGAGAAATGTATTAACTAAAAACACGAGTTTTGCCATGATTAAAGTAGAAATTTACACTTCAAAGACATTGAAGATAATGAATATTTTACCAAATTTAAAATTATTAAATAAGCTTATGTTTAGCAACACAATGTGAAGATGAAAAATTTTTAACTTTTAAAAACTCATAAACTATTATTATCAGGTGACAAATGATATAGAATTTTATTATAAGACCTTTCCACCAGCCACAACTTCAAGAGCAGTCGCATATTTTTGATCCTTCACATTCATCAACATTGCCACCGGACCCTTCACCGAAGTTCTATTGAAATTTGATTCCGGATCGTGATAATCAAACGACAGCTGATGAAATCTGTTATCAATAAAAACAAAAAATGTAAAGAAAGACTTATGGAGAAATAAATCTGTGACTACGAGTTTACAAATACCTTGCTTCAAGGCTGTTAATCCGTTCACTGATTCGCATCACTTCCATTTCAAGTCTTCTATGTTCTGCTCCCAACTTTTCCTCTAAACCATCTTCATAATTCAATTTTTTCAACTCAACCTGTAATCAATTTGTTGATCATTATATAATGGATGAATAAATACACAAATAACTCATATTTTAATCTACAATGCTAGAGTTAGGTCCAACCCTTAATTCCAAATTTTCAATTTTTATATTGCAACATTTTGAAAAACACAAGCTATATAAAAGCTACTATAATAACCATTGTAAAACAGTTAACAAAGCGATATATTTTTGGTATATTAGCATGTCATATATTGGATCAGATATCCTTCTCATGATATTACACGGACGACCTTTAACTTTTTGAAAATGAAGTTGGTCACAAAGCATGTTTGGCGGTACAAAATACCAATACTATAGATTGACTCCATAGCTTTCTTGAATAGAAGCAGATTTAGAACATGAACAAAACCGATTTTCAACATTTCATTTTAAAACAAGATGAAACAAATTCAGCTTCTAACTGCTTTAGATGTTTCATCTCCTACAAAAACATCCAACCCCAACCTTATGATTTGTAAAGAAGAACAAGAATTAGAGTGATAAAACTTGATCAAGCACAAATATGGACTGAAAACAGAAATGCAGATCAAGATGGCAAACAAACAGTTGACAAAGTTGAGACAAACGAAAAAAACAAATCCAAAAAAAATCTAAAATTAGAAAGACCAACCAACCAACCTCTAATCCTGCTACAATTGTCTTCAATTTATTGAGAGCAGCTTCGTCAGCTGTGTAGGCTAATTGGTTCTGTCTTACGGCAGTCGATCGTTTTGCCAGCTCATCTTTGCTGTGCTTCAATCTAAGTGATTTTCAATGGAAGTTTAACCTCACAATAGTGATTCAACATGATGAATAGTGGGTAAAATCAGTGCTTCATTATGAAATGCACTTTATAAATCAACTCAAATGAAAACAACAATAGAAAGTAAGAAGAGTTTATTGTGCGTAAACAAAAAAATTAACAAATTTTAGACCAGCAGATGGATTTGAGACAAAAAAAATTTAGCAAGTGACGCAATGTGAAATAATTTTTAAATTATTTACTTTTATATAAAAATAAAAAAGTTGAAATCAATCGAATTTTATATTGAAGAATAAACAAGTCTATCAGGCAGTTGCTACCCAGCCTAGAGCTATTCCCACAGAAACAAGGGACATAAAAAATATGTTAGTGTATGTTTGTATGCATATACATGTGTATAAATATTTACCATTAGCTTTTCAATAAAATAAACTTTAGTCACACAGCAATTAATTTAATTTCTATTTTCTCTGTACATATTAAAAGCAAGAATAAATAAAAAGTTATATAAAATTAAAACAAACCTTATCTTTGTCTCTTCTAACATTGTTTCTATGTTACTGATGTTAACCTTGCAACCTGTTTGTGTGCACAATGGCCGATTTGATGAGATTTTAAATCTAAATGACCAAAACAAGATAAGAGATTTCAAAAGCAAACTTCTTAGCTGTTCGTTGACAGTGGCATCTTTACCATTGTCAACACCTGCCAATCCCACTTTAACAGCTTTCAGGTGGTCAATGGCGCTCTTATGTGAATTCTTTAATGCCTCGTTCTTCTCTTTTAGAACATTTAATTCAAACTCCAGTTTTGTGACAGCTTCCTTTTTTAACTTCAAACTCGTCTTATCCTATTTAGTAAAAAAAATTGGACAATTTTATTTAATAGTAATTACGACAGCTATGACTTATATTTCAAAATTTCCACATTACAATAATCTACACCATATTGAAATAATGATTTACCATTAGTTTCTCAATAAAAACACTATAATCAATCAGACAACAATTAACCATGTTAATCTAATAAACCCAAGATGAAACTTTTGTTTAGTATATGATCAATAATTACATTGAATGCAATCCAATCGCTTCTATGGCACAGCCCCTTTTTAAAAAACCAGCAAAGAAAAAAACGTCACAAATTTTTTCAACCGAACATAAACTGCTAAAAGTTAGGAAGTGGGCTACAGACTATACTGCTCAATGATAAATACTTCTAACCTAATTGTAACAAGCAGCAATGATGGGGAGTATTATTGAATTGGATTTAAATAATGTTATAATCAAAGATAAGTAATAAAAATTGAATGTAATTTACATACATATATATATATATAAAGATTTTGTACAACATCATCTACTGTATGAGCTTTTGCAAAGGAGTATTTAATTATGCTGACTTTGTTACAAAGCCAAGACACCTACAACTGAACAAACAAAACTTACTGCATGTTGCTGTCGTTTGAGTTTTTCGAGTTTGTTGGTTTCAGACGTGAGTTGATTCTTACTTGCATTGAGATGACTGCTGTTGATGGTCAGTGCATTTTTTGCCTCTTCATGAGCCTTTTGCAGCGTACTCAACAAGCCGCCGGCTTCCTACATAATTAACAATCAATCTCTTCAATTTATAAAGGTGAAAGGTCAATTACACTCTTCCAAAGTTCAGAGGAATACATACTAAACGACGCATTACACACGAGGCATGTTATAGGCGGGAATAATTTTGTCATATTCGAACCTGGTAAATGCGAAACAACACCAGGCGACCTTAACCACTGGGCCATCACGCCGCCCCTCATTATATACAGCTACTTCTCCAATATGTTCGATGGAGCTTTTCAACATTTGAGAAATATGCGACACATGTGTGTGTATGTGCGTTTTGAAGTGGGTACGTGCAAAACAAGCCATGGACGCAAGTTCAATGTATTTAGAATTCCTTCCCATTTGGACCGCAGATAAATACATGCCAATAATAAATAAATATCTGTAATGGAAAAAATTTCATCAATAAATTACATCACCTCATCTCTCTTTTTTTCCAAAGAAGCTATAACTGTGGACAACAATTTCAAACTTTCATCTCCGCAAGCAACCTCCTTCTTCGAATCATTCAAAGTCTTTAAGAGCTGCAAATGGTCTTCCACTGATTTTTTGCTAAGTTCCTTTGAAATATTAATAAAAATATAAATTATTTCAAAAATTAAATAAAGTACAACAAAATCTGAACATGCCTCTGCCCCAAAAAACTTGTATGCTATGTGGAATTTATTTAAATGTTCCAATTGACGAATAATTTTTTGATATTCCAGATATGATGCCTTCTCTTCCTTTAATTTCAGAACTTTAGGATTTATTTCTTCATTTAAATTCTGTTAAAAATAAATATCTTAACAATTAGCATTATAATATTCTTAAAATCTTATGCATTATTTAGTGTTTTGAAGGGTTTTGATGTACAATATGTAGAATATTTATAAATGAAATAAAATAATAAATCTTAAAAAAATATATAATAAATTAAACAAGTGAGTTTAATATTAACGGTATCAATTTCCAAAAGATGGACGTTCTTCTTCTCCATGACCTTACTGGCTTCGTCCCTCTTGTTGTCATACAACTTGGTGCCCGTCGCTTCTTCTATCATTGACAAAATCTGTTCACATTGCAGTGGCATATTGTTTGTTCACCATAACTAATTATAAAGAATTTGAAAAATCAAATGACAGATTTTCAAAAGCAAATCCTCAGCCAAATCTTTTCTTCTAGCTGAGCACTTGTTTAATATGCATCTATAAATTGTCATAAGATCTGTCTGGAGGTTTAACTCAATTTGAAAAGGGGATGATTCTGTTTTTAAAATTATGCCATGATATTTAACATCAGCATGACTTTTTGTCATTTCAACATATTGTAACATTTTGCCAATAATTCTACCAACATTTTTTCTATTTCACCATGTTTTATATTATTTAATGTTTTCTCTGTTATGGTCAACTTTTGCATTCTGGTCTAGTTTTCTTTATGTTTATTTATATTGCTATTTGGTAATCAACGAAAATCTTTAGCAGAGTAATTGCTATTTCAAGCAGCTTTTTAAAAATTAGATTGATTTGTATTTTGTTTACAGACATGAAAACATGCTAGAACAGAACCTACCTAAACTTGCAAACACTTTATACAACTGGTACATGTTAAAAAGAACAATAATAAAAATAACTTGAATGAATTCAAAATAAATGATGCTACGCAAATGGGGCAGATCTGATAACATACTAGAACTGCACGCACAACAACACAAAACGCACCTCCTCAGGCTTCATGTTGAGAACTTTTGTGATCCTACCTTGCATGATGAGGAAGTGAGGATTGTTAACATTCAGCTGTACTGATCTGAAAAATTTATGTAGAGGATTAGAGTTTATAGATTTTTTTTATTTAAATATTGTTAGGCGAAAGGTGAAAATATTTCATCTTCAAATTATAAAAAAATTTATTGTAAAGAAAATTAGGAATATGTCAGTTTGATAAAAACTATTTTTTTTTTCCAATTTTTCATTACTATATCCTATCCATCCAGTCTCTCAAATAAGCACGTGCTTCCAGCAGCCACATTTTATTACCTACAGATCTTTAACTGCACAAACTGTCTTATAGTAGGGTGCACCACTTTATCAGTTTTCTTTAGAACCTGTGAACCTTTAGAACAGTTTTCCCAACTAACTTTTTAAAAAATATTGCCAAAAAATTTCTAGAAAATTAATTAACTAAACAACTGTTTTGTCAATAAGCATCTGATGTTCCAACTGTTGACAACAAATGAACAGCAACCTACACAGTGAAATAGTAGATCAAGTTGACACATTACCATCTTTTCAACTCTATTTATAGATTATGTTGACAGCTTGCTAATAAGTATACAACTTGCAAATCTGCGGTTCCTTAAATTTTATATAGTACAATCGAAGACAAATAGCGAAGATAACAAATATAACAAAATAACAATAATTATTTATGAAGCGTAATTTTACCATTCAAGCGATTATAATACTTCTTTGAATGTATTAAGCTTATATTAAAAATTTATCTATGTTTCAACCAATAACTATTGATAAATTAAAACATGTTACCAACTTGAACAGATCATGAACTCTGTTGTTGTTTGCAATAAGTCCATTTATGAGATACTTGTTTCGATTGCCAATTGATATCTAGAATGTAAAAAAATTTAAGTAAATCTGTACCAAGTATTAAGAAAAATTAGAAATAGTAGAAGGAAGCAACCTGTCTTGTTATAGTTATTTCATCATAATGTCTATATCCGTATGGTGATTGAGGTTTATTAGTGTTATCAAACACTATGCTCACCGTGGCCTTAGTTATGCCTCCCTGTCCATTTTTATAAACTAGCTCATTCAGATTCACAGCACGAACCTTGAAAAATTTATAAATCAACATTAATACATAACATTTTATATTATTGAATCAAATGAATCACTAGTAACAGCCAGCACTGATCAGAATTGATTTATTTAGCAACAAATCTCTTTTTCAAATTAACCATCTATTAATCATCAATAGCCATTGACTTATCAAGCACTAATGAGCCATCTTCAGCTCATGCTGCAAACATTTTTATCAACTTAATCCATATTCATTCACAATTAGCCATTTCAGGTTCTTTTGTACAATGAAATAGGATAAAAGAGAGCAAAAGGCATATAACACAAAACAAAAATTTATAATCCTAAAACAAAATAGAAATTATTCAATGTGGAGAGATACAAACATTGCTTAGATTTGTTATTCCCAATAAGAAGCAAATTCCATCCAATATGTTTGATTTCCCACTGCCGTTGAGACCAGTTATAGCATTGAACAATGGATCAAAACCATTTATCTCGGTCCTCTGTGCATATGATTTGAAACCATCCAACACAATTGATTTAATCCACATACTTCAAAATCAAACCTGTTTGAAAAAATATTTGATTGTTACACAAAATCATTAATAAATAATTATAATTATAACTGTCCTAATGAGTTGTCCAATGTCATTTCATTTGAAATACAATTGTGGTACCACAAGTTTAGAATTTTGTCATACACAAAATAATTAGAGTATTAGAACAAGGTTGGAATAAAAGAAGAAAATAAAAATTACTACCAAATAATTCAAAACTTATAAAAAAATAGGATGAGAACATTTTAAAATGACAATAAATTTTGTAAAATTTCAAACTTAAGTTAAGTGAATAATTGTTGGACAGATTAAAAGAATTGTATTGGTTATGAATTCATTATAAAATCTATGATGGATTGTTTTAGTTTAGTTTAGAGATCATTGTTGTATAATGTATATATATAATCAAGGATGAGTACTATGAATTCAGTCTTTCTATTCTAGTTTCCTGCATTGTCAAATTGTTAACAGTAGCTGCTCACAACTTATAAAAACTGTTAAAAATTGCAAATTTTCTAATTATTGAATTGTTTTTTTATATAAAATTGAATTTTGAAAATATATTATTATAATTATGCTGCAATATTATTGATTGAAAATTGAATTGAGCCATGTATTTGTCTTGTGTATGAAATCTGAATCTGAAAGAATTAGCAATTCTAATTACTAGCAATTCAATTGTTCAACTGGGAGTTTTGTTCATAAATTATTCATAATCATTATTTTCTTATTTTACAGCTGTTATAAAAACAAGAAGAAAAAATTGTGTTGTGTTTGATTTTAAATCGTTCTTCTCACGTCTTGTGGCGAATACAATGCTCAAAGTTCACTTAACATTGAGCGCCACTCTTAACATGGTGCAAGTTGAAAGTAAAAATAATTCTTTCAAGATTCGTTTTCTCGGTGACTATAAATGCTAAAATAATAAATTTAGTATTATTTTAATCAGCAAATTTTGCTTTATAACAAAAAGTAGTTTATATACAAAAAAAAATTTTTTAAATCGTGGGACCTGGGCTAGGTATTTTAATTTATTCATGGGATATTAAAAAAATAGATTTAAATTTCATTATGATGAAATACTCCGATATCTAACCTCTATAACCAATCGACACGAACAAAATTAGAGAACGGACTTCAAATAAAAAATTATTAAACATTCAAAATTGGAATTTCAACAAAACTGGCGCGTGAACACCAGTTTCCTGAAAGTGATTTTTAAATTTCATGATCAACGACGTATAAATATAAAGTGCCGAAAGACTTTTGAGTTGAAATGGAGAAATTTAAGAAGTTAAAGAAATCATTAACGAATGATGCACATGCAAATTTAAAAACACGTGTTTTAACTTAAAAAAATTTTGATTTTATTTGATCGAATAAATGTTAGCGAACGAATTTCGTTGAAGAAATTCTGTCTGTTTTTAAATCATTTAAAAAATATTCTGACAGTAAATATTTTGTTATTTTACATCAATCGACACAATATTGTATGCATAAATAAATATTATATATATTTATTCATCGCAAAATTATAGTTAACACGCTGTATCAAAATTAATTTACTAAATGACAATTTTACAACAGTTGTTAAAACCATGTCTTGGTTTTAATTTATTTAAAAAATATTCTGACAGTAAATATTTTATTATTTTACATCAATCGACGCAATACTGTATGCTTAAAAGATTATCTAATATAATTATTCATCGCAAAATTATAGTTAAGACATTGTATGAAAATATATTTACTAAATGACAATTTTACAACAGTTGTTAAAACCGTGTCTCGGTTTTAATTTATTTGAAAAATATTCTGACAGTAAATAATTTGTTATTTTACACCAATCGACACGATATTGTATGCTTAAAAAATTATTAGATACATTTATTTATCGCAAAATTATAGTTAATACACTGTATAAAATTATATTTACTAAATGACAATTTTAAAACAGTTGTTAAAACCGTGTCTCGGTTTGAATTTATTTGAAAAATATTCTGACAGTAAATATTTTGTTATTTTACACCAATCAACACCATATTGTATGTTTATAAAATAATCAAATATATTTATTCATCGCAAAATTATAGTTAATACGCTGTATCAAAATATATTTACTAAATGACAATTTTAATACAGTTGTTAAAACCGTGTCTATTACATGACCACAAACTTCACCTACCACTTGAACACCGATTTCACCTACCATCTGACCACCAGCTTCACTTACCACCTGTCCACCGATTTTATTTACCACTTGACCACCAACTTTATCCACACCTTGACCACATTACAACACAACACAATACAACAAAACAGTATACGTTACATGCAAAACACGTTATATAATATTACAATCCCAAACTTTGTTACTCTTCATCGGATTGGGATATCTTGATAATATCGTCAATGCTGTCGCTTGTTGATTGATACGAAATCTCTTTCATATAGCCAGGCCTGATATTTTAAGAAACTACAGAGACAAACGATTTATGAAGACTTATAATTACAAATATTTATTTATTTGTATTATAATTTTTTATTTTATTACAACAAATATTTATTTATATATATTAATAATTAATAATTTTATATTCACGTCATTTCTAATCTTTTGTGATGCTAGGCGTAAATTAATATGACTAATTTTTAAGTTAGTTTGATACTTTAAGAACCACAAAATTTGAATTAATTAATTAATATATCATCATCAATTAATTGCATCCATGTGAATATTATAGTTTTGAAAAATAATCAAAAATTATTGTATAATTATATAATTATTATATTTTCCCATTTATGAATTTTATTTATGTAACAATTTAGCAACACAAACATAGTCGGTCTGGCTGTGTACGGCTTTTATTACCACTCTTTTTGCCAGAATTTAATTGATTTTTCTACATTACAATTTTTTTTGTGATCAAACAAAGTTTAATATTTCTAATTATTTTAATTTAAATTTTGTTTTACTTTCCATTGTTACTTTTTACTGTGGTTGACGTTAAAAACATCAGCATAACCACTATACCCCTACCATTAATCATCTTCGTAGGCAAACATATAGACAAACAGACAGACAGATAGACAAATTGACAGATAAACAGACAAACGACAGACAAACAACAGGCAAACAAAAGACAGACAGGCACTCACGTCCAGACGGAGCAAACGATAACATCAGGCATGTAGGAACTTCACCAAAATAATTATAGACAGTTCATGTCGAAAATGACTTGACACCATTTAGTAACCAGCAATTATGTACGAGTCCTGGCTAACTGTGGTATACAACAACAGTGTAGTTTAACTACGTGCGTGCGTATGCGTATGTTTGTATACAACATATGTCTATGTGCAATGTATGTATTTTTTGTGTATGTTTTTGTTTATGGATATATTTACGCATACCCTTATGGATATATTTCTGTAAAAATTAACAACATGTTGTTAATGTCATGTTGTTAACAGCATGTTAACAACAATGTCTTCCTTTGTGGACCTTTGAATGAAACATTTAGTAATGTTTAAATGTTAAAGTTTTGAATTTTTTTCAAGCACCAACAGCTTTGTGTTAGTTTGTTTGTTACATAAAAATTTATTTAGAAGTAGTTGTTTAGTCATTGAAAATGAATCTCATTAAGTTAATAAACTCACAGATTCAGACAACTGCGAATTACTTGGCTACCTTTTTTTAACTTATCACACAATTTTGTGTCAATTTTTTTATATAAAACGCTGCATTTACGTATAAAAACTGTGTTTCAATGCATAGAAAGTAATTAGACAATATATTCTGGCTGAATTTTCAGCCATGGCCCCCGTCCTCCCATTAAATTCACTACCAGGTCCACCAGTGAATAAATTATATCAGCTGCACCAGCTATAGATGAAATATTGACGTAATAACGTGCAAATTTTAAAAATTATTCTATATTTTATAGGTAGCCAGCGCAAGAGAATTACCTCACTAACTCATCATTTAGTCTATTAATAAGTCATCAAATATATTAATACTTATTAACACTTTTTCACACACAGGCCTAGCCTTTATTTTTATCGATCACTTCACTAAGTCATCATCTAGTCTATCAATTTGCCGTTACTTTATTTTATATTCCATCGTCAATTACTTTTCTTTTATTTCTCATATTATTATTATTTATTTTATTCTAACATATTTTATTTTTCATGTTTTATCATTTCTCTTCTTCACTGTTTGTATTCATTTTCTTATTTGTTTAATTTTGTTTTACTGCCTTGCACGTTGTTACAGTTTCTGCGTCTGTCAGATCCTGATTTTAAAGAATAATAAAAAAAAAAAAATTTGAAATCGTCAGCGATCCGCCCCACTGAATAATTCTGGAACGTCACATGATAAAAGTTGAAGAACCTTGAAATACACTTCAATTAATTGATAAAGTTGATGATGGTTGTGAATTGAAAAAAGAAGAATGATTCTTATTAAACAGAGAATCTTAAATCGTATTGTAGATGCTGCCAGTTAAAGGAAGAGAGGTAAATTATTTGATAAAACAAAATGTTTAAAGTATCGAGAGCTTCAGAAAAGTCAAGAGCGGTATGATGAACATGGTCATAATTTTTGAGGATAGGTGTTGTTGTGTTGTTGTAGAGTTGAGAGAGATGATGACGAGTGTAGGAAGAAATGCGTGTTGATCTTATAGAAGGTGGTTTAATTGTAGGGTGAAAGATTTGAAATGATTGAAAGTGATAATGGTAACGATGGATATTTTGTTTTATGAATGGAATGAATTGTTCAGGATTTCCATTAAGAAGAAACTAATAAATATGTTATGTAGTAATTGTAAAGTAAACGCAGATGAATGCTGTGATGATTCGTAGAAGGCTGGGAGGGAAACTATCTAAACCTGTATCGAATGGACAGACCCGTAAAGATGGGCAGAACTGTGAGTTAACTGTTGATGAGGATGATGAGTAGTGGTTGATTTTTTTTATAGAAGTTTTGTAGGATAGGTCGGCTGCCTGAAAGCAAAGGCATGTTGACATTTGTAAATATTTTTGCGTTTTAGTTGATGATGAGATGTTTGATGTGGCCAGTTATTGCTGCTGCTTCGTCGGTGTCCCATGATTTCATAAAAATTTAAATCGTGGACAGATGATAACTGCTTTTGAGGTTTAACCATGGGTTTAACATGGAGAAAATGGTTTTGCTTGGTTTTTATTTTTTACAAATTTTTGAAATATTTAAGATAAGCAAGTAATTTTTAATTTGAACTGTTATTTTTGTTATGTGAACCGGCCTATCAATATAAACATTTACAATCTGGGTGACTGTCCCTTATTAAACGTCCCATTTCTTTCTTCGTGTGTGAAATAAGTAAATTTAAGTAACAAGTAAACAAAGTCACGTTTTTCGTCCGAATGTTTTTTTTTTACGATTCAACTTTAGTTTTATTCAGATTTAATTCAGTCGAATTTTATTGAAAATGCAAGTTTACGATTTAAATAGCGTAAAAGTTTACAATTTAAGCTGCGGGAAATCTCTTCCTGACGTAAGTGGTATTTTTTAATTTTTAGCTTTAGTTATCAAAAATTAATATAATATTAAAATGGGTTAATCAATAATACTTTAGTCTTCAATGTTTGATTTTTAAATAATTTATTTTTTCTATTTAATAAAAATTCGAATAATTTAAAATTTTAAAAAATTGTTAAGAGTCAGAACAAGTACACTGAAATTAGTTTTTTTTACCTACCTACCTACCACCATACTTTTTAAATTAAAGATAGGATTAAAAGTTTAATTTTAAAATTGAAATAATTGATAAATTTATTTTATATAAATAAAGAAGTTATTTTTTTAATTCTATTTACTTAGTACATTATAAAAGTATAATTAAATAAATTTAATACCTTGTTTTGTTTGCATGATGATGTTCAGTGGCTGAATGAGAGAAAGAGAAGGATGCTTTTGAAGAAGGATGCAGGTTTAAAAAACAACATACAAACATCTTTTTTAAATTTATATTAATTTTAATAAAATAGGTTTAATAAGTTAAATTAAAATTAATTTTATTCCATTATGATTTTTATTTTAATAAAATAATGTTTTGTTTGCATTGATTATTATATTAAATTATTATTATAATTATAATTGCTACCATAATTAAAACTATTGAAAGAATTAGAATAGTTTTATTTATTTAGCTTATTTATTCTAATTTAGTAAAATAATAATAAATTTAGAAAGTATTATTATAATTATTTTTAAGATCTACGAAGACGCATACAGTTGATACAAGATTTTGAAATGCCCACTGTGAGCACTTCAATTTCGCTGTCCAAAGATGAAAAATACATTTTAGCCACTGGTAATTAATCATTCAAACATTTTTTGGCTTACTATATTTAGTTATAAAATTCTATATTATCAATGATAGAGTAAAAATGTCTGCTATGGTATTGCTTTAAATTTTATCGATTTCCATAATCTTTTCTATATTTGGCCAGTTTCTCTCTTTCTCTCTCTCTCTCTTTCTCTTTCTCTTTCTTTCTCTCTCTTTCTCTGTCTTTCTCTGTCTTTCTCTCTCTCTCTCATTCATTTTAATACTTGTTTCAAAGCAAAATGTATACTTTGTATGGTGTGTTATGATCATAAGGTTTATACAAGCCTCGAATCCGTTGTTTCGATGTCAACCAGATGTCCTTGAAGTTTGAAAGATGTTTAGATTCTGAGGTACTCAAGTTTCAACTTCTTGATAACGATTACTCCAAGGTAAGGTTTTTTTATTCTTCTTTAATTAATATTTGTAATGCTGCAGTACTTAAGATACTGTTCCTTCTATTATTATTTAAAACTAAGCAAACGGCATGCAAAACTGCATAAACACAAACATACAAACACAAACATACAAACATAAACATACAAACATGAAGATGCGAACAAACATCCGCAGTGTATAAACACAAACACCAAACTATATTCAGATAGTATTTCTACAAATTGATCGATATGTTGAGTTTCACTCCAAACATGGAAAGTACTACAGGACGAGGATACCTTTTTTTGGCAGGGATTTCTCAATCCTCAACACCACTAGTGATCTATATTTTGTCGGGGCCAGGTCTGACTAATTACCACATTGCTCATTTTTTTTAAATTTGTCTTTTTATCGGTTGGATAGATATAAAATAAAAGTTTATCAAAAATATTGAGATATGTTTTTTTATTTAAATTTTTGTAACACACAAAACGTATTTTCAATTTTTCTGAAGTTTTGTATAATACGATAATTATTAAATGTTAATATTTACATTATTTGTTTCTATTTACAATGGTAATGTTGCAAAGTGTTGATATTTACTCACAGTTCAGAAGTCTGTCGTCTTAACCTTCAAGTTGGTCGGTTTCTCAGTCCCCTCTCAACTAAGGCAGAGTTAGTTTGTGTGTGTGTTTGTGTTTGTTTGTGTGTGCGTGTGTTTGTGTGTGTGTGTGTTTGTTTGTGTGCGCGCGCGCGTGTGTGCTGGTGTGATAAAGATTTATTTATTTATTTTTAAACCATTTCTTGGAGGATAATTTACTAAAAATTACGAAAATGATGGTGCTAATGTTAATGATTATTGTGATGATGATGATGATGATGGTAATACTTGCAACACGTACTTATGTGTACATGCATGTACATTTGTATAATACGATGTATTATACTTGTATATATTTGTATAATATAATACATAGTATAGTATATATTTGTATAATATAATATATACATAGTATATATATATATATAAATATTATTATAATATATTATATAATATATATTATATAAATATATACATAATATATATTTGTATAATATAATCATTATCATCATTTTACCGGTAATATACATTACCGGTAAAATGATGATAATGATGGTAATAATTTTAAAAAGTAATTTTGTGATACTTATTTAAAAGTGAACTGAACTGCTGTGCATTCAATGAACATCACGAATTATTCTCCTGTGGGACAACACAAGTACGACTCTTGCTCTCATACTAATTTACCATTTTTATGAAAATTTTCTATTTCACTCATCAGAATTTTAGTTTTATTTAATTATTTAATTTCTAACATTTTATTTATTATTAAATTCCTTTTTTTACATTTTCACTGATTTTACTGTTTCACTAAATAAACATATTTCAATAAGTTTTTTGATATGCTATATGCTAAAAGTTTATGGGGCGTTATATGAATTAAAAAAATTTGTTATTTACGTGGGAAGTTATAAGAGTGACCTTGACCTACTAAGAGTGACCTTGACCTACTAACCTAATTACATAATAGGGTATAGTTGAATGCTGGGACCCGAGGGCAAGGAACTGCGTTTGTAGACTTGACTGTGCTGCTCAGTTGATCGCTCATGATAGTGGGTTGGTTGCCATACTTTTAAATTTTTTTTATATATCAACTAAATAATAAATAATTTTTTCAAATTTATTGTTATTTAATTAACTAATGATTAAGTCACTTGAATAACTTAATAAATAAACGAATGAATGATTTGAAATAATTAATGAATTTTTATAGTTTATTTGATTTAATGCTATTAAATATTTAATGCTATTAAAGGCAATATTTTTTAAAAATTTTTCGTCAGTTTTTTAAGTTTTCATTTATATTTTTTTCAACTTTTATAATGTTTTCAAATATACTTTAATATCTCTAAAAATTACTTCTGGAAATTTAGTTTTAGTCGTACTTGGTAAATTTTTATAACATTTATAAACAAATTTCAGTATTTTAAAAAAGATTAATTCTATTATTTTTAAAATTTCACTTATAATTTTGTTAATTTCCTCGCCAAACAGCATCAAGGAACTGCCATCGATCACTGCCCTTTCATATAATGGGCCGACCATAATGGGCGTGGGTACGTCTACTGGCCAGGTTGGTCCTGTGCTCATTATTATTATTAGTTTTATTTTATATATTACGGTGGTTTACTAATATTTTCCGTAATTTTTATTACCATTGATTTTTTTAAACATTTCCTGACATATGGTAGAATAATGTGAAAATGTCTGTACTTGTTTTGGTAAATGAATGAAACGTGCTCTTATGTCATACAAACAAGCAAGCAAACAAGCAAACATGGTTATATATGTATATGATTGTAGAATAGTATACACTGATATAAAAAAACATAGATATATGCAAATAAATTGTACTCAAATATCACCGACATAGATACAGATATACGAGATGAGGGTGAACAAACCAATAGTGACGAAAGATCACAACTTCAACCTGCCAGTCAAATGCATCAAGTTTCATAGGAACGACAAAAACGACAATCTCGTTCTCTCCATCGATAAAAGAATCTTAAAGATGTGGAACCAAGATACTGTGATTATCAGTTTGTCTAGTTTTTTTCGTGTATTGTATTTTGGTTTCTTTTTGTACATATGTTTATTGAAATCATAATTAACATTGATGTTAATTAATGGGCCCCTAATAAATGGATATTAATGAACAGGGAAAGCCCTTCACTTCTATAGAGCCTGAGTCGTCATTGAATGATCTGTGTGTTGTGCCAAACAGTGGTCTCATGTTCATGGCCAATGAAGCTCCAAAGATACTCACTTATTATCTACCTGTAAGTTTATGGTTATGGTGATGATGTAACGATGAAATGGCCGATGATATCGTCAAAGTATTTAATATAAGTGCTAAAAACGATGTCGGTTGTATATTGAACTGTAATAAACATCGCAAAATTATTTCTTCCTATCTAAATTCACAATTTCTTAATTATTATTAACTTGCCAATGAACTTTGACCTTCAAAGGATTTGGGTCAACCTCCTGCGTGGTGCTCCATGCTCACTAGTATTACAGAAGAACTGGAAGAAAGTTCACAAACACAAGGTTTTAATGATTTATATTAATGTTTTGTTCGACTTCTCTAATTTTATTACAATTTTGTGATACAAAATAATTGTATCTTTTTTGGTCTCCTTGAACGTATTTTTTTCTTCTTGTAAGTGACATTTTTTGTGTTCGCCTTTGATCTATTTGAAAGGCACTTCATAAATACACACTCAGTTAATAATAATTTAATAACAACTACACTGAAATGCAGTTTACGACGATTACAAATTTTTAACGAGGACTGAGATAGATGAACTAGGCCTCTCACATCTCATCGGTTCAAACATGTTGAGGGCGGAAATGCACGGATACTACGTCAGGGCTGAGATCTATCAGAAGGTACGTTGAGGCATCGTTATTTGTTTGTTGTAGGTTGGATTTGATGACTGTCATTCGTTGTGTGATGATGTTCTTTAGTTTTTAATTTGTTTTTGATGACGTTGTTATGTTGGTTTTGTTACATTCTTCATAATAAGTATTTCATTATTTACATTGGTATCCTGTTAAAGTTTTGCTGTATGGTGAAATGTTTCCTGGTTTTATTAAGTTTAAACAAATATTTATAATCTGTTTGTGACATCATCATTCGTCACCTCAATGAACATTCCATTGCAGGCCAGATCATTAGTTGAACCTCTGAAGTATTCTGAATATAAAAAGAACCGAGTTGAAGATGTTAACAAAGTAGAGAGCAGAATAAAGGAAGAGGTAATAGCGAACCTTAATACACACAACGTCTACTTATTGGCTGTTGTCGTTGTTGTTGCTTATATACATCTTTCTATATTTATCCGTGAATCTTTTTGATTAGGATTGGTCGAAAAATTATATTAATGATAAATAAAATTAAAATAATTAGAAACCGCTGCCTAAAGTCAACAGAATGATTGCCCAGAAACTTGAGTCGTCATCAAACACTAAGGCTAACAAGGTTTGTTTTGCCTCACTTGAAATTTGCTTGGTTTATTTAGTGTTAATGTTTTATATTAATTTAAATGTTTTGATCAAATAATTCGTTAGTAATTCATAGGATGGTTGCAGCTAATCTTTTTAAAATTTGATTTATTTAAAAATGCAATAAGGTATTTCATTTAATAACTTGTCTTGGACGCAGTTGAAGAAGAATTTGTTACTGGAGGGCAGGTTCTCCAAGATGTTCGAGGATAACAACTTTGAAGTAGATGTCTCCAGTGAGCACTACCAGCGGCTGGTTCCTGTGCTGCCCAAAGTTGATCCTCAGTCAAACAATCAACGCCAACCAGATGAGGTCAGATTAAATTTATAATCAACTTTTTATTAAGTCGATTAAAATTTAATTAATTGTCAATCTTCAATGTAGGGTTATACATTTTAAAATTGATAAAGAATAAGCAGTTTTGTAAGATTTAACATACACGTTTTAGCCGCCAATCTCATCATATATTTTATTATCAAGCAAAATTTCACATACTTTTAGAATAATAATTTGAAACAGCTTGAAGATGAAATCGAAGTTAAGCTGAGTGATGATGAAGAGGATAACGACGACCACGATGACGACCAATCAAGTAGCTCTGATGATGAAAGCACCAGGGAACAAATGAGGATACAACACAAGTCAGTCGTTGGCTTTAAACATCTCTTAATTTAAATCAACGTCTTCACTTACTTCACAACTTATCCATGCTTCCCTTGATTCATTTTACATTTTAATACTTTAATCATAGTGTCGATGCTTGCTGAGCCAAATTATTTCTCATCTTAAATTTGTAAGTACAACCCTTGCCCTTACGTGAGGCTGTTCTATGCAGAGATCATAACATATCAATTTGTCTTCGTTAACACTTATAATTTTTTTACACGGAAACGGCGAGTTTATTTATTTTTCAACATTATTAACAATTCATTGAATTTATAATAAAATGTATAAACCTTTACATACAATGAAGATTGATAAAGGAGCAGAAGAAAATGAAGGAACTATTGAATTTGAAGAAAAAAGAACCAGTCCTGTATGAAATAGGTTCTTCTAACGATCAGCTTTCTTCAAGCAGACAACAGCTTCTGCTTATGCCCAGGTTCATTCACTGATTTTTCAAATTAAATTTTCAGTTTAATT